AGAGACTGCAACATTGACGTCATTCCACCGGGTATAACAACTAAGTCGGTGCCGTTGCGTGAAAGGCGGTCTTTCACTTCCTCAGTTGTGTTGCCACGGAACGAGTCAAGAACGAGCATGGACCTTTTTGGGAGCATCGCACCGGTCCTCTTTTTCCATACCGTCTTGATCCAGTCTACGAACAAGTCCACGCGTCATCCACGCGTTCTCGTGTGCGCGCACCACCACACCGGCAGGCAAATGAACCTTTGGTAGAGTTTTCCTTTTCAATGGAGGCGGAAATGTTGTAGGCCCGTGTGCTCAAATTTGGGTGCACGTTAAAGAACCCCAGGTGGTCTAAATTTCCGGAGCCCTCCACTACGGCGTCTCTCATAATCATATAGTGGTTTTCGGACGTTAAACCCCACATATCAATCAGTTTTCCTTTTCAAGATCACGTACGGTCGCAGTTGCGTGCCATCGGCGAGGGCACAAAGCAAGACTGTGATGCGCAGTTTCGTGTTCCCGCCGGTCAGCACGCTCACCGAACTGCTGCCCGTCTTCTCAATCGTTCAACGTCTTCTCAACGGCATTTCAAAGTAAACAGGAGTTTCATCCGCATTGCCGACTTGCGAAAAAATATAATTGTGCTGCTTTCGCAGGCCAATTACATATCTCTGGTACTTGAGCAACTTCTCCTCATAAGAGGCCGGCAAGCGTTGACATATTGTAGTCCGCCGCCTGATCGAGAGCCCTTGCCGCTTCATAAAGCGGTGCAGCCATCCGCGGCTCGCACGGAACTCGTGAGGTAGGCCTAGCTCCCTTGAAAGTCGCCGCGCTTCCACTTGGGCCATCTCGGTCGATACGGCGTGACCCCTGCTTCTCACATCTTCGATGAACTTTACTAGCTCCAGCTCAGGGTAGGCACCGGTCTTGGGGCCACGGAATGACCTACGGTCGCGGTGCGCGGCTTGTAGGCTCTTTTTTCTTTCTCCACAGTCGCATGCAAGACTCGTCCACATCGTGCCGTCTTCCCGCTTCGCGATTTCCGAATTCCTCGGCGACGGCGATGATTTTAAGCTTTTGCTGTGCCGTGAAGGCCTGCCGCCGTACGCTACTCATGGTGACAGAACAGATCGACTTAGGCTTGGCGAACGGGTCGAGATGTGGAGAACTAGCGGTATCACCGAGGTAAAGAGCGCTCACACTCGGCGACAACTTGACAGCACTACCCCTTCTCTAGTACACTGTAACACCACCCTGGAAACAACAGAACCGACATGCATGCCTGCTACCGTGTCAAAAAGTGGTACATTAATTTACTGATAATGCAGTAATAGCTCATTAGTTGGACACCCGTTAATTCGGAAATTCTGATAATTCGGACGGCTCTATTAGTCCCGACCAAAGTGCATGTTAATCTATGGGACCAAACCTTCGTTATTTCGTCGGAATTCGGCTCCGCACTGCTTAATTCGGACAAATGCTGACGGCTGCTGCTACACAAAAGTGTGATGAAGCAGTGCTGGCACCACTGGAGTGAAACCGAAACCTGAGTGGCATCGCCATTGTCATCAACTAGTGGGGGCGATCCCAGTGTCACCGAACGTCGGCGTCTTCTTTCTTCTCCACTCAGCGCCTTTGACGCCATTTTCCCTTGTGTTGTCGTGTCGGATCCATCTCTTCTTGCGGAGTTCTCTTTTTCTTCCATTGTGACCGTATTTGCATGCCACCACCATCGTGCGCTACAGTGATGGCAACGCCGAAAAAGCGGCAGAACTATGACGCGAAGAACTTGGCGACTAAAGTGGAAATTTTGGAAGCACTGAAGAACGGCGAATCGCAACAGCAGGTTATGACCAAGTACAACGTGAATCTGAGCACAAGAACGTACGTGAAAAATGAACAACAGATTCGACAAGCCTTCGAAAGCGAGAAGTTTCATGCCTCTAGAAAGCGTTTGCGAACCGCAGCTCATCTCCAGCTCGAAGAAGCTTTGCTCCGGTGGATTACTGACTGTCGCAACGCGCATCTGCCTTTGAGCGGACCTCTCATCACGGCGCAAGGTGAAAAGTACGCTGCAATGATGAACATTGAATCGTTCAAAGCGTCAGAAGAATGGTTTGCGAGGTTTCGAGAGAGACACAAACTTGTCTTCAGGAGTGTGTGCGGCAAAAAGGCCAGTGTTGACGAAAGCGTGACCACCGAGTGGAGAAATGTGAAGCTGCTGGAGCACATCGCCGCATATGAACCACGTGAGGTTTTCAATGCAGATGAAACTGCTCTATTTTTCAGAGCTCTGCCCGACATGACGGTGACTTTCAAAGGGGACGCGTGCATTGGTGGCAAGAAGTGCAAGCAAAGGATAACTGTGCTTCTTGCCGCCAATATGACTGGCACGGAGCGCTTGCCACTACTTGTCGTCGGGAAGGCGCTTAAGCCACGTTGTTTTAAGAACGTCAAAAGCCTTCCTGTCCAGCACACAGCGAACAGGAAGGCATGGATGACATCTGACATTTTTCGCGGCTGGCTGCAACAGTTTGACCGGCACTTCACGTCGAAGGAACGCAAGATAATTATGGTTGTTGACAACTGCAGTGCCCATAACTGTACAGTAGAACTGAAGAGCATCAAAGTAGTTTGTTTGCCGCCCAACACTACGTCTGCTCTTCAGCCGATGGACCAGGGTATCATTCACTACGTGAAGTCAAAGTATTGCAAGCACCTGCTAGAGCGAATGATCCTATGCTCAGAAGCTGGAAAGTTGTATCAAGTGGACTTACTCGGCGCAGTGCACATCATCGCCCACGTGTGGAAAAACATTCCGCAGCAAGTCATTGCCAACTGTTTTCGGCACAGCGGTTTTGTGAGGCCCGAGCATGCAGCAGTAGCTGACGATGGCATCGAGGAGGTGTCAGCAGAGTCCACCGACGATGACTGCCCGACTGTCGATGCTGTCCTTCCCACAGATGTGACCTTTCAAGGCTACATCGCGATTGATCATGGTGTCGCCACGAGTGGTCTCCTGACCGATCAAGAGATTATTAATGATGTCACGGGCGCCCATGAAGACCACGATTCCGACGAAGAATCATGCGAGGAGATACAGCCGCGACCTCATCACACCTCACGGGAAGTCTCGGAGGCGCTGTTAATATTAGAGGACGCTTGCCTGAACACTTCCGACAGCTTGCATGCTGTTGGCCATTTGGAACAGTTAAGAAAAATTGTGATGTCAGCCGGAATCTGCGCGAAAACACAGACGACAATTACAAAATACTTCAACAAATAAAGGTATGCTTCTGCAGCATGATTTTAAACGTTGTTTTCCCTGTTCATTCGTTAATTCGGCATTCGATTAATTCGGGCAGTTTTTCCGGTCCCGTGAAATCCGAATTAACGAGCTTTTACTGTATCTCTATGGGCACTATAATATCTCATTTGCCTTGCTGAAATAAATACTGCTTTATTTATTATAATATTTATTATGGAACTTTCTTAGACAGCACCACCTTTTCGGCAAGCCCTTTCCAAAAGTAAACATGGCGTCGGTGACGTAGGGAATGTGCAGGGTCACTGAGCGGCCGGGAACGTCCAAAAAATATACTTGTGGTGTGACAGTGAGATTTTACACTGAACAATCGAATTGTCTCTCCCCAAATGTTTTTCTAAACGCTTCAACGATGCAAGCAAGCGAAACCAAAATCGGCCGCAAGCTGCCGTGCTACTTGCGGAGTAAGACGAATTTGCGGAAATCGCCTCCGTAGCCTTCAGTACACTGTTAAGGGGCTTCACAGCACAACACGCATTGCTGTGAAGCAGCACTATAGGAAAAACCCCGCTTATTATTCGCACCTCCACTTTGCCACTGAAATTTTTGGGTTTTTGGTGCGGGTTTTTGGTGTGGGCGAAAATACGGTAGCTCTGCCTTCAGTCGGCTTTGTTTAATTTGCGCTTTTATTTTTCTAATTTTCGTACGGAACCTAGATGTAACAAAATCCTTTTTTTAACGAATTTTTTCGGTTATTTATCAATTTTGTTATATCCAGGTTTAACTGTATAAGCAAAAGGGTTTCTCCTGCATTCGACAGATGGTGGTCTACCGCAAAAGGCGTGACTTTAAGTTTTGATTGACGTCGCTTGCACTTTTTGCAACTGTTCAGCATGGTTGCCTAACTATGTTTTGACATTTATTGCATCGTTATTTTGTGATGTAATGGCTTGGCCACTGGCTCCTGCATTAGACAAATGGCGCTACATCGCAAAAGGCGCGACTTTTACATTTTGATTGATGTCGTTCGTGCTGCTCAGCATGGTTGCCTATGTTTTGACGTTTATTGCGTCATTATTTTATGATATATAATGGCTTGATTTAACGTTATTTGTTATTTTGTGATATAACGGCTTGGTTTAACATTGCTTCGATCGTCAGCGGCACTGGCTCCTGCATTAGACAGATGGCGCTCCGTCGCAGAAGGTGCGACTTTTGCATTTTGATTGATGTCGCTCGTGCTGCTCAGCATGGTTGCCTATGTTTTGACATGTATTACGTCATTATTTTGTGATATATAATGGTTTGATTTAACGTTACTTATATTGTCAAGTGCACTGGCTATCGCACGACACTAAAAATGAAGATGAATTTAAAAAAAAAAATTTTTTCTTCGGGGACCAAGATGGGAGTGGGTTCATTACGCGAGTAAATGCGGTAGTTGCCGTCTCTCATAACAGTCAAGGCCACAGGCACTAGGGGTAGCATTGATAGTCTGTTGCCAAAAAATCCTGAATCTTGTTTATGCTTATGATCAGCTATAGTGTGCAGGTATGCTTGCCTATGAAATTGATTGGTTTGATGTGGTGGCAGCTCTGCAAAACAAAACTAGGCAGTAAAGGAAAAGTGATGACACTGGACAGGCACCTGTCTACCCTCTTTTTTTTTTATTGCTTTGCTGCATCGGTCTCGCAAATTGTTGAAAACCCATGTTGCAGCCATTCACTGAACTTTGCGATGTTCATTCTAGCCACAGCCCAACTCTACGTGTGCCAAGGTGTGGGAGAAGATGACCTTTGCTCAGGACAACGACGGCAAGATGACTGCCAAGTTCCGCAAGCTCATGGGCATCCGCGGCGACCCTCCACCGCCCACCGATAAGCCCGACCCCGCAGTCAACCCTCTGCTGAAGCAGCAGGAAAAGTTGTTCCAGGACTTGGACCAGCAGTATGAGGCGGCACGCGTGTCAACGCATACGCACCGCGGTGTCGGCCTCGGCTACAGTTCACAGATGGCGGCCTTCTTGCAGCAAACCAATCTGAACACTAAGTGAACAGTGGGTGGTCCTGCTTTGTACATACTGACATTTGGGTGGATGATTTCCATCATCGTCACGTGCAGTGCGTCCATCGGGAAAATCGCTGCAACATCATGGATTGAACTCTGTAGTCCAACCTTCTCAGTAATTTAGGTGCTTTGGAATGGCCCCACTTGAGCTGATAATAGGCGCTTGATGTCTGTGTGCACAAGACACGCAATTGCACTTTGCGGAACAACAGCAAAAAGTGGGAGCCACAATGGAACAGCGGACTTGCTTGTACATACAGAGTGTCGTCAATGTTTACTGTACACTAAGTGTAATTCATTAAGGTCAGATGAACTCATCCATCATACATGCCATCACGTCACTAGCACGGCATCTGTTGAGAGCGTCTTTCGAATTGCCAGTAGTTATTGGGACAGCTGAGCATTGGCTGCTGCTTTTAATATCATCTTCAGCTCATGCAGAAAAAGCAATAAATTCTTTAATAACGCCAGGACGGTGACGTGATAAAGGTTTGATGGCTGTTTGAATCAGGCCTCAGGTCTAGGATGTCAGTGATTGGTGTCACCACTGATGAATATAATCCCAGTCAGTAAGGTTTTATACAAGGCTACATCTGTTACCTTAGTTGAGTATGTATGCTGAAAAAATGTTTTGCAGTCGGCATGCAGCGATAACATGTTATTTCCCCCCTACACTTACTCTTAGCTCAGCAGCAACATAAGATGCAAGTGTGGCATGCAGTAAAATGCATCTTTATCAGTGCCTCCTGTCACGCTGGTCTGCTTAAACCACGGTGTAAGAGGTTTATTAGGTGAGAGAGCGCCGATAGATGGCGAAAGTGATCGCGGCCTGCTCAACCGGCTACGCTGCGCGTGCACGCTGGTGCGTACACAGCCGCGGCGCGACGAATGAAAAATATATCGTTCGAGTCAGCGGCCATTGGGAGTTCATCTGTGAATCAAGCGAATGTTTGCTTGCACTCCTTAATATCCGCTGCACCTACCCGTACAGCTATGACGAACTGCGATTGAGTAGATGTCACATTGGCCCCAGCGTGTGGCGTGGTTGCACAAGTTTCATCGTATTCTAGAGACAACTGCTGCTACTTGTTTTTTAAATTTTATTTAGAGAAATTGCAACAACATTGAATGGACAGCACGGCATGAACAAGACATTAGATAATAATCGATTTTTTGAAGTTCGATCCCCGATCTTTTAGCAGTCATAAGGTTGTCAAACATGACACTCCTGTCGGCTTTTACGGTGAACCCTACCTGAAACCACAATCAAAAAACAACACCAACATTTTTCTATCCTTCTAAACTAGCCATTGTACAATGATTCAACACATGTTTGCTTGTTTCTTTCACCATTTATTTAAATAATAGCAGCGTTCTCAAAACAATAACAGCGAAACATACAAACTGAGTACACACCTAAACTTATATGCGAATGAAGGTTATAAAAGCGGTGCTGCACTCGTGCCGACATTGGGTGTCAAACATGCTTTGACATTTTTCGCAAGTCTGCACACTCAGACAATCGATTGTTTCAAACAAGCTCTGACATTTTTCGCAAATCATGGCTGTTTGTTTCGTTCTTCTTTTTCAATTGCCTGCCGTACTGCCGCATGCGCAGGCACACGTAATAATGCAACAGCTTTGCCAGCATTTCTTCTTTGTGAGCACTGCATGGAAACATAAAGTTGTGATTCTCCAGCACAGCATCAATGGTTTTGTCGTATACATCTCGGTCACTAGCATGTTTTGCAAAATGCTCTTCAGTGCATTTGAAAAGATCGGAGAGATGCATGTTTGGGTGTGTCAGCCAGCCCTTTGTCTTGCAGTTCACTAGGTCGGCTTCAGGGACATTTATAGTGCCTTTTTTTTCCCGCAAGAGCCTCTTTGCAACTGGTGCAGCATGTGCAGCTGCCAACCTTCCGGGATACGAATCTTGTGACGTAGTAGACGATGCAGTCAACTACTGTTGCGTCTGAGTCGTCGAAGTCGAAGAGGTCGTCGCACTCCCAGCTTCCTTCTTCAATCAGGCCGTCAAGTTTTTCTTTCAGTTGTTCTAATTTGGCAGGGTGTTGCGAGGATGAATCACTGTAAATATTTCTTAAATCAGCCAAGGTGACAACAGAAGCTTGCTTGTTTCCAGTAGTTGTGCAGTTGCCGAACTGCGGTGGCTTTAGCAAGGAATACAGGCTCAGCATGCGGTATAGCTGAAGGAACGTGGGAAATGTAGGGTGTTCGTTCTGCCCTCCAGCTTGCCTGACGATACCAAAAAAACATTCCAACGGGTCTTGATTCATTTTTGCTGTTAGAACATACTTGTAACCGCACTCTTTCAATAGGTAAACTGAAAGCTCCCGCACCGACTTAATTGTTACACGTAAGCCTTCAGCGGTTGACTGCGTCAAAAAAACGTCTTTGGAAATCTCTCCTTTCACGACCTCTGTCTCCCAAGAGTCTAGCCACACAGATGCAGCTTCTAGGACAGAAAAATCTTTACATCCCAGTTTTAGGCCTTCTGCAGGGAAACTGCCGGTTCAGTGCATCAAAGAGGTCATTTAAAAAAGAAAGGGTAACTGGACTGTCAGCTCGGCATTAGTTAGACGTGGTGCGCCTTTCTGTGCGTAGAACATTATTCCTTTAGCCACGGAGTTACTAAAAATCTGTGTTGCAAGCTTAACTCTCATTTTCAGCATCTTAGAAGGGTTGACGTGATTATACGTTATTTTTAGGCGCACTCTAAGTTCACCACAGTGCTTGCTGTCTGCAACGAACAGGGCATCATAGCATGACCATCTAATGAGCTTGCCATCTTTCATCAATACCTTCTTGTCGTATAGTGGATTCCTAATGCACTTGAAAAGATGAGGGGTGTCAGATAGGACATACACCTTCCTTGAAGAATCCAGTGGGTGCTCGAATGCATTCACCACGTTGCCCAGTACGCCGCTGATCCCAAGCTGCTTCCACATGGAGCGGTTCGTGGATGCTCCATCGCACACAACGCCGTCAACGAACACTCCGGCCTGCTCAAGTTTCACAATGCACTGAATCAAGAGCTGCGCCAAAAGAGTCCCCTTAGTCGGTCCTTTGGACGCAAACACTGCTATGGGCTGTGAATAGTTCTCACCGAACCGGGCAAAAGCGAAAACCAGGCCGTGATTCTGCGAGCTCACTACTCTGATCCTTTGTTTCTCCTATGGTAACGAGGCCAGTGTATGTCATCGTTTTTGAATTGACGGATATTTCCTTCCTTACTTGAATTTCGTCAAATATCAGCATCCCTCTGCGCTGAAACTGTGGCTTAGAGAAATTTTCATCTTGAAAGCTTTGAAAAAGTTTTCATCGAAGCTACATTTGAGGCCGACCATGCTTATGTACTTTCTTATCGTAGTGATGCATGGCAACGGCAGCACGTCATTAGTGCGCAGAAAAGCATATGTAGCTGGGCTGCGGATGTTCAGAAGAAGACACAACAGGAGCCAGTCATTCCGTATACCTGCCTGTATGTTTTTGAGGTGCACTTTGCGGCCGATATGCACTCTTCTAACAGAAGAAGCTGCGCTGGTGGCAAGTTGAGGCCCTTCAATTTTTTAGTGACGTCTTCTTCCTGCAGCTGTGCAAGTTCCTTCCTAGAAGCTTGCAACTGCCCTAACAGGAGCTTGTTCCTTCTTGCGAGTCGTGCTTGTGATCTTTGGAGTGCATAGTTTGCTCGCCTCAAAGCGTGGAGCTTCTGTTTTTGAGCAGGGGCTACTTCTAACCTGATGCGCTTTAATGGTCGATCCTGTTTGGCTCTTGCAGCTCGACGACCGGCATGTATTCGCAATGTATCAGCAAGGCCGCTGCAGAACTGACAGATGGTTCCACTGGGTGGAACTAAAGGGCACCTGTTGTGTCTCCAGTTCCCCTGGCAGTCCACAAAAGCACACTCAGGAGCGACACCAGGGAAATCCTTTATAATTCGGTCCTTCGCAGCACATGCTAGTGCTGTTCATGACGCTGAGCATAGTATCCAGTTCCGATACAGTTGAGACTGACGGATTTAAGCCCAAAGCAGCAGTACCTACTTGCTTGCCGAAGACGTAGGCCTGCACAGTCATGTCACTCTTCACATGCAACGCCTTCCGACTGAAAACCAGCGAAGAGCCGTCGCTTGTCTTGTGCGTCACCGCAGCGTCTATAAAGACGATGTCCCTCACGCCTTCCGCGTCAGTGCGATGCACAGCCCACGAAGATTGTGGTAGGCTAATGCGAGGTGTCGAGTTAAAAAGCTCTCTAAAAGATAAGTCACGCGAGGCATTCGCGTAGGGCTCGCGTGCTGCTCTCACAGGGCATTTCAGCGCTTACTCCTGAAGCGCTAGGGATCCCACCAGGCGACGTCGGCATGGGCTCAGTGCTGCTTCCACTGTGAGAAGTGCTTGTTGAAGGGGCTACACTGATGGGCTTGTCGCTTCACTTGCTTGCGAGGGCTTTTGATCTTCTTGGAGAGATATCTTGGTGCCCCTTCGAAAATCGACGGTACAGCGTCTTTCGCTAGGCCGGCTCTTCTTTTTCCAGACATCAGCACATGGCCGTCTATTTCCGCGGACCAAGTCTTCATGATGAAATGCGGGGCGAAATGCTTCTCGCAGACTCTGTCCGTCCTTTGAAGCACGCGGTCCTTTCGAGGTATTGCACGTCTCGATGCTTCGAGCCTCTATGGTTCGTTCGGCGGCGTGAAAAGCGAATACTTTTCCTTGCACGACTTATACCCCGTTTTGCGAAACGGAACAAAGCACTTTCCCATCGTGCATGCTCTTGAATGAGTTCTTAGTTCTTTGAGCACAGTTCAGTTCTTCAACAACCGGCACAAAAACGTCGCAGAAACAGTACAAATGCCGCGCACACAGGGACGGAGAGTACTGACAAAACGAGATGAGCCGGGCGCGAGTTGCTAGCGCCCTCTCTTGGGGCGCCGCGGAAGGAGAACGTCTCCTCTTGCCCGCGAGCTGCTAGCCCGCGCCGTTCGCTCACCTGAAAATACCTCTTACACCGTGGCGTAAACATATAAAGTGAGTAACACTTGGCGCTGATTTGTATATTTGGGATCATTTTCTTTACTGCTTTTCATTTGTTCATTCTTGTCTGTATAGTCACGATTGCCATTTTTCACTAATGTCTGAAAGATTTGACCAAAGAAGTTAACCATTCATTTTTTAGCAACTGCCTTTAATTAAAAGTAGAAATTAAGACCCTGCTAACAGGAAGTGCCCCTTTCCCAAGTAAATTATCAGGAGTGCCTAAACTATTTTTATTGTATACTCATACGAAGTTGCATCTTATGCGCTCGAAAATGAGTTTGTTATATCTGAACAGTTTGTTGTAACGGTATATATTTAACACTATATCTATTGCAAAAATATTTTGAGTTTACTTCGTTATAACCGATATTTCGTTATGCTGTAAAAGCTCGTTAATTTGAATGACAAGGGGAAGCAGCCTCAGTTCGAATTGACGAAAGTGAAGAAAAAGAATAGTACACTGCGAGTAGGGCATAACAATTTATTTTTTGAAAAAAATCTGTGATACCAAGTTGAGTATCCATACCATTATCGAAACGGCCAGGAGAGCTGAAAGTCGTAGGCGGCTAGATAGATAGATAGATACGCTCAGTCGCCGAAGTTCACCAAGAAATGCTTTGCATTTAGTAATTCGTTCCAACATATGATTTTGATAAAATGATTTTAAATTTCTAATTATACCCTAGTCCATGGGCTGCAGTACCGCTGTCGTGTTTGCTGGAAGGAAGGCCAGCTCAATAGCCTTTGTCTCAACGTTGACTGTGTGAGCCGAACAGTTGTCCACAAGAAGCAAGACTTTGTGGCCACAGCGTTCGAACTTTTTGTCAAGCTTCCCCAGCCACTGCGCGAACAATTCCCCCGTCATCCAGGCCTTTTTGTTGGCCGCGTAGTCTGATTCTTGAAGCAACGAAGATTTCTCGATTTGCCTATCACAAACAAAGGCAACTTCTCGGTCCCGGTCATGTTCGCAGCAACCATCACAGTTATCCGTTCTTTACTTTTCTTCCCTCCCGTGCACTTGTTGCCTTTATACGTGATAGTTTTGGCGGGCAGCAATATGAAAAATAAGGCAGTTTCATCCGCATTAAATATGTCCTGCGGAGAATACTTCTCCACGTACCCTTGAAGCACTTTGGAGCGCCAAACTTCACACGTTTGTATGTTGACGGCAGTTCATTTCACCGGACACAGCACAGAAAACGAGGTCGTAGTGCTCGCCAAAACTGTGCAACCACCCATCTGAAGCAGCGAAGTCGTCGTAGTCTAGGTGCAGGGCGAAGTTTGCTGCCTTTGCCAGTATGACTGGGCCACTCATTTGTATGCCCTGCAAATGCCCTTTCTTTATCCAAATAAGAAGCGCTTTCTCGAGGTCAAGATACTTTGCGGGCCGCAACCTCCTCCTTTTGCTCGCAACTTCTGCCTCTAAGGAGTCTTCAATAGTCCTCCTATTTTTTATTTAAGTAGATAGAGTCATTTTCGGTATCCCATGCTTTTTCGCGATATCTTGCTTAGTTAGGCAAGAGTCCGGCGTCCAGTTCCCGCGGGATTTCAGCTTTCTCCTGAAGTGTTTTGCCGCGGGCATACGCCATCAAGTCGGAGCAGCAGAATCGCGACAGACGGGAAGCTACTACTGGCGCTATCGCAATAAATGTTAGCCGAGGCCTAACACCAACACAAAGAATCGCGATAGTCTGAAGCTACTCCCAGCACCAACAACTGAGGTGTACGACGCACGCCCGAGAGGGAGACTGCAGAGAAGACTGGGCAAAGCTACGACGCACCCGTTTTGCTGTGTGCTGGTCATGCCATCTGTCGTCTAACAGTGACAACTACGCAGGATTTTCAAAGGCTCCGAGATTGGCGCTTAAAAAAAAAGACAAATCTTGGAGGTTACGTAGGACGGCAAGCAGGCAGCTGCCGAGAGAGAGAGAGATTGTGGGGGGAGGGGGGTGAAGAGTAAGTGGCGCTACTTCCTGCACTCTGGCCTCCGTGCCAGTTTGCCCGTTTTTAACCTAACCTAACCTAACCATCTCTCCGCTCCGTCAACGCCGCCTCGTAGCTCGGCAGCCGCCCTATTGAGTGACTAGCCAAGCCGCCGGCGCAGTGGCGCATAGTTCGAATTATCCACGGCGGAAAAATTAACGGGTTTTTTTATTCATAGGCTTGTATGGAGCTTAGCCGGGCCATAACTTGCAGTTCGAATTATAAATAACTTCAAATAATTGAAGTTTGAATTAACGAGCTTTCACTGTATCAGGTTTTGTTATATCTAGGTATGAGCGTACTTAATTTTACTGAGGCTTTAGTGTTAAAATTACTGCAGCTGAACTTGAGTAATGATGGTCTTGTTCAGAAACACCTTAAGATTGTTGTACTGATGTTTCTAATCTGTGTGACACGAAATGCCTTCACTAAGAAAAAGGAATTGCTTTGCTTCGAAATGCTCTTGTTTCATCAAGCTTTAACTGTAGAATTTCTTGTGTGCTTAGGTGCAATTTTAAAGCAAAGCCAATATGTTTAAAGTTGAAGGGACCCTGAAACTGTTGTGACAAATTTGTGTGAACACACTGCGCGAGTAAAGCTTGCATTAAGGGGAGATGCTACTCGAAGACACTTTTTTTTTTAAATATTCGCCCTAGAGCAATGAAACTAGAGCTGTTTATGAAACTTTTTATGCTGATTTCAAATATATAATTAGTTTTCTTGCAAGTTGCTTACTTTTAGCTCTGCGAATTGACAAAGTAAAAACCTTAACCCTTTTGCCCCCCTCTCTTTATCCCTGAACTTCCGTAATATTTTACTATTCATAGTTCATAACGTTTGAAATAAAGTTAGTAAAGTGTAGAATGCAAATAACTAATTAGGAAGCACATACAAAATATGTGATAGGCGTGAAAAATAATAGACGTGAAAAGTCCATATTTCACCTACCCTAGCAAAGGTTTACATAGAACTTTTTTGGTATACAATAAAATATTTAAATTTAAACTAGATAATTGCATTCCCCATACTTTAAAAAACATTTAGGCAAAATTTCAATGCAGATCTGAGCACTAGAAGTGCCCGAAAAAGGAGGGGCACATTGAAAAAAATGGCAAAATTTGTGTTTGGAGAAAAAAAAAACGAGTTTTCAAGTTCAAATTGAGTTTTTATTTATGAAAGATATCATTAAATCTGATGAAATTTGCACACTAAAAAGAACAATTCTTCTTGTAGTGGCCACTGCGACTAAAATACGCCAGCCCCATGAGTTTGTCCCTCTCGGCTTTTTCGAGCCGACTCCTCACAGACAGGGCCATGATACGCTTGCCAAACTTCCGCTCCATCTGGCAGAGCTTTGTGCCAACTGCAAGCTAGGAAGAAGTTCGACAGGACTGCGAAATCCATACTAAGTCCAGTGTCATGCCATCTTGTGGCCGCCCCGCCACGGTGGTCTAGTGGCTATGGTACTCGGCTGCTGACCCGCAGGTCGCGGGATGAAATCCCGGCTGTGGCGGCTGCATTTCCGATGGAGGCGGAAATGTTGTAGGCCCGTGTGCTTAGATTTGCGTGCATGTTAAAGAACCCCAGGGTGTCGAAATTTCCGGAGCCCTTCACTACGGCGTCTCTCATAATCATATAGTGGTTTTGGGACATTAAACCCCACAAATCATCTTGTGGCCACGTTTGTGCCACATACCGTCGTACATAATGACAATGTCGTCCCTGCTAAGTTCTCTTACTGCGAGCTCTTTCAACCTCGCAAGATTGGTGCTGACGTCATCCATTGCCACATCACGAACTTTCCTTCCGGCTGACGGGTGTGAATGACTTTTGATGCATTGACCGCAAGTTTGGCATTGATCGCAAGATGGTTTGATTTTGATGCATTGGTCGCAAGTGAAAGCCGCACAAGGGCTTTCACTTGCGAGCAATGCTTTTTTCCTTTCATAATTCAGCTGCGCTGCATGGACCCTGCAAATAGTCTTCACAGCACATACAGGTGCGCAGCGGCCAACGGCGGTCCCCGATCCGTACCACGTGATAAGCCAGTCGCAGTGCTCGAAAAACGCACAGAAGCGTGCTTTTTTATTATTTTTTGCGCCGCATCAGCGAGAGAAACTGTTGTTGCTTGAAGAGTGAGGCTCGACTCTTCGGCTAATGCAATCAACAAAGCCGAGCGGCGGCGCGTTATCGGCGGCAAGGTGCTCGAAGACTGCACACTTTGGACCTTTTAACAGGCACCTTGTGCTCTTTAGATGCAATTTTAAAGCATTTCCAGTTAAGTCTCGACATGTACTTTTTTTTTTTCATAATAGTAGAGGTACTAATTTTATAAAAACAGGCAGAAATTAAAAATTGGTAATTTTGCAAACAACTCTCGCTTTTAACTCCCTTTAACTTAGTTGTTGCAGAGAGCTTAAATTGGCCCTAAAATGATTCTTATGGCAAGACTTTAAACTTGTGCATCGTGACAGCCCGTTTTTTTCTTTTTTTAAGCACTGTTCCATGTCATGTACCACCAGCAGTTAATTCGACGATCTCATTCATTGCTGCTAAACCTCTGTTGGACAAGAAGCGTTGTCTTGCCTGTGTCATGTGCTTTGTTTTTGTGAGCTGCACAGTGTTTATCTGGAGCTTTATTTACTCGGACACAATGAATTGCCCGGGCTGAGTTGTGTGCCCCCAATCTAGGTATTGGTCACTCGTAAAGATACGACTTCGGGTAAGGCTGGCAACGCGTCAGGCAAGAGGAGTTGCTTGCCTGATGCCGGTCAACGCCAGAATCCCTGAATAGGCGGCTGTAACTTGAAGGGGCCCTGAAACACTTTTTCAAATAACCATGAAATGTATTCATTGCAAGAGCTTATTGCCTCACGAATTCAACGCCGCAAAAATTTTAAGGATCCGTTCAGTGGGTGTGCAGTTCGAAAGATTTGCCGCATACTGCAATTGCACTCTCTCATCCAGGTGGAAGCACTGGAAGCTGAGCAGGGAGGGATGGCAGGGGCGAAGAACATACGTCACGCGTGCCTCGCGACCTTGAGCATTTATTTGTTTATTTTTCCTAAATTACGCAACTTTTTCAGTGTGATCGCACGCGTGGACGAGTCGCGTCCTCCCGCAGCAATCGCTAGCGATCGAGCGCCCCATGTTCAAATCGGCCAATGGCTGAGAGATGGCTTTGCGAGAGTAATTTTTGAGCATCTTCCGTCGTTTGTCAAGAAAAGAGAAAGCAATTTTTAGCTGACTTTGGTAATTTATTGTAAATTTCAGGCGGCGTGTTGTGCTATAATATTTGGCTTGCGTGTTCTCAGGAGCCTCTACTGCCGATCGACGGTGTTTTCTGACCATGCTCAAAAAGTGTTGCAGGGCCCCTTTCATGCTTGGGGATGCAACCACATTGGCTGAGTTACGTGTATCGTACTGTCATGTTAAAGCCTCAATGCTCTCCTATTCAAGGCCCTCACTAAGTGCCCGGACCCCCCTTTCCCTACACTCCGAAAAAATTACTGGCTGGCTCCTCGAGGCCTTGCTGAAGTTGCTTGTCTGTTTGTCTGTCTGTCTACAGTTCTGTAATGGGGATAGCATGTTGGGCACAGTCCAGGCACACTGATCATATTGCAATGAACCTATCGCAATATTGTGAACTACTGTGCGCTAAAAATGTCTCTTCACATACAACACAGTCATTCTTATTAAATTTGCACTGATGCTGGGATTGCCAATCCCAATGGCATGGCTCTACTATGACCATAGCGTGCTGGCACATTAAGATATTTTAGTCCAAAATGATGTGTAGCATGAACCTTGGCGCTTTTCGGGTGCCAACTGAATATCTCTTGTGCGTTATGGAGCAAGGAGGATTTTAAAGAAGGCTGGAGTGCAAGATATGCCTCAGAAATTGAGCCAAAAATTCATCTTGCAAGTGATGAGATGAAGTGGATGTGTGTTTTTCTAAATTCTTGGCCAGTCCCCCACAGTGGGTGTGAGCCACAGTAGATGATGAACAAAAACCTTTTATTGGTGTAAGATGGGTAATGTGTTGGAGCAGATGGGGTTTGACGAGTGCCTCTGTTTTAGCAAGCTTCCTTACGAAGTTCCATTACCTAGGCTAATTTTGTTGCTAGCCTCGAGTTTGCATTAACAGAGAAAAGCCACATCATCTCTCTATCCAAAAAGAACATGTTTGTAAGAGAAACCAGAGGGAAACTGCAGCTTCACCTTTGCTTGTGATGGGTTGATATAGCTACCACTCCAGCATTTCTTTTCAATCATCCTTATAGAGTGCAGTTTTTCTAGGGTCGGGGGAGGAAAGGCTTTGCGAAGGGAATAAATGCTGCCTGCGATTCTTATGAGGGGCGGTTCAGCGTTGTTAAAAAGTTCGTATTGCAGTGTCATTCAAATTTGCCGCACTTGTCATGTAAATGCAATGTCATCTTGTCAAATGTAAATACAACCATGTGCGCATCTGTTTCATGAGATGCATTCTCTTTTGCTCTAATAAACAGGTGGAATAAACTACTTTTTTTTTCCCAGATGTCTTGTGCCTACTACCCTTCCTTTATAGCAATATTGCTGTCACTGTCATGGATGAAATATGCAAAGCAGACAAGAGGCGAGATCCATAGTGTAAGTAGCATGCCACTAGGAAATTTTGTGGAAGTAGTTTTATATGTCGTACAATCCATACAACTAAAGGCAGCTGGTGCAAAATGTGTTGTCGCCACTCTCAATCCAGGACTTGTGCATGACTTTGAAAGCCCTGGGAGTGTTTTATTTAGAATAGCGTGGAAGTCTTGCTATGCATTCTGAACGTGAACTGTGTAAACCAGCTTTTCAGGGTAGGTTATCAATACAGCTATAGAAACCTAGTGCAATTGCACTTGGCTCTCTGCTTTGTGCGACTTGCTATGTGAAAACTTTTTTGACTGCATGTTTACTACTTTTCCGTTACCACATTCTGCTTTTGTGAACCAAGTGTTAACTTGGAGTGATCGCAGCTAGATCTTTCTAATTTTAATGCTTTGTACTGGGGATTTTGCTATACATCCTGGAAAAATGCAAGTTTCTATAAAGTTGCATACTTTTTTTTTTGCCTATCACAAGTTTAGTTTCATACATCCAAAACAAGAAACTGAAGATTCTAACTTGCAGTAGGCTTAAAGTGCTTTATGGTCGCACAAGGTGACTACTAAATTTCCTTAGAACTGGTTAACTGGCTGCTTGCGATCGCATTTCGTATGAGGGTCTCAAGATCCATTATTGGGCAACTTCTTGAGTTTACACATCTTTTTGGTACTTCTGATCACCAGAGTACGATGACATTTTGCCCACATATCTTTTTTCATATTGCCTGTTACAATTATTGTGAACCCAAAGCAAGCAATTAGTGAGGGACTGATGATAGTAAAAATTCTCACAAGTTTTCTTGTCAATTAAAATGTTTTATACCCCTTTTCTTGATAGCTTTTTGAATTCTACACATGCGCAATTAAAGTAGCTCAGAAACATGAAAGTTTAGTGGCACAAGGAGTTTGTCCGAAATGCACTATATTTACCACACATTCATGATGCAAAATAAACACTGTCACACTTACTATAAAACTAATTATATATTTGAAATCAGTGTAAAACCTGTATATGCAGTAAAAAAATTCTTGCCATATAGGCTTCAAAGTATAACTTTTCCACTCCTATATATACAGCAAAAACAATTGCTTGCCATGTAGGCAAAAAATTAATGAAGCCTTTCTATTAATTTAAAATTTTTTTTT